TAAATATTGGAACTTATTGCGAAAAAATAAATTTCAAAAGGTTACAAATTGTTTGTTTTCACAATCTTAGTGAAAAGATGTACAACTGCATTTGGAAAAATTAATTTGACTCTAAGGTAAAAATATAATTTTATATATTTACTTACATATTTCCATTATCTATTACAGTATATTTATAGTATATTTAAATATAGATTTTAAACATTATAGATCGATAATTTTATTGATAAGATCTCAATAAAAAACTAGGTTATACATTATCAAAAAACTAGGTTAAACATTATATAATATTGTATATAATATTATATAATATCGAATTATATAATATCGTATTATATAATATACATATATAATATTATATAATATCGAAAATTACATAATAAAAAAATAGTTCTTAAAATATTGAAAATTATCGAAAAAAGAAACTAAGTTGTACTCGGTATAGATATCGAAATAATGTTTAAAATGTCGAAAATTATTAAAACCTCAAATGGTTAAAAGTCTTACAATTAAAATATTTTTTATTTATAGTGAAATCTTCCTAGTATTTGATATAAATGATAAATTTTAATCTCATATATTTTTTTTATTATTAGTTATTATATATTAATGATTTCTTAATTATATTGATATAATTTTTATGGATTTAATATATAAGAAAGATATATATTATATTATTCCAAAATGTTTTATTGAAAATAAGATAATTATCATATAAAGTTTATGCGATTTTTCTCAATGATTTATGAATTTTCTTTTCTAATAAAAACGATAAAAATATTGACATCACGATCGATCAAGATGTTTGCATTAAAGAGTTCATATTTTAATGCGTCTGACATCATCTAAAATGATGATGAGATCAATAAAATGTTTGATTTTTATTGAAGAAAAAAAGGAAAGAAAAATTCAAGAAGAATAAGGAAAGAATAAAAAGCAAGTATCATGGTAAGCGGAGAAAAGGCGGGAAATTTTGAATAGCGTCCAAAGCCATTTATCGAACCTTGACCTCGTCGTTTGCACTCCAATTAATTTCAAGGCAAGGCACGCGCACCCCTTTCCACCTTCTAAACTATGTTTATATGCTAAAAGTTGATAATAGTTTGTTACGTCGTATACATGCGTAATGCAATCGAAGCTTGCAGGAGATCGTTTTATGGATGTCATTAGCATAAGCTGGTTTCCTAGCTGGTCAATGATAAAAAATCAAGATACGGAAATTGGCTTCTTTTACCATAGCTTCTGAGAATGCTTTTAAATGCAATTTTTATACACCTTCCAAGAATAAAAAGAGAAGCTTGCCTGTCGAGGTATTAAAACCCGATATACAAGCTAACGATTAACACCGTGGACAACTTCTGTTTTTTTAACGAGCCGGATTCGTTGAAAAGAGTGCCAATTAATTACATGTTTCATATATAGAAACCGTCGTCAAATATTTCCTCCATATTTGCTTCCCTTCTCTCTTTTCTGTAATCGACGATTGAAAATGAAAAAAATTTTAAAAATCCAATGATATAAGTATTCTTTTACATATTCGTTTTTACTATATACATATATTACGAACATACTATTATACTATAGTGTAATATATATAATCTTGTTTTTTTTTTGCGCTATTGACGAAGTATGGGATAAAAAATATCGAAACATATGTTCGATATTAACATGTTATGAAATTCATAACGGTCGGATAGTGAATGGATGACTGGAAGCATCGATAGATTCGTTCTCTCGATGTACAGCGTCCATTTGTTTGCAAGAGAAGAGGAGAAATGGTACAACAAGATCCGCGGTTAAAGCAGAGTTGAAGGTCGTTGGGAACTGGTTAGGGTGGGTATTCTGTTCTCGTGGTACTACACTTTGGTGGCCGAATCGTGTTCAAGTAAGTCAGGGTCATGCAAACCGTGTTTCTGTGCTATCGATATAAAAGTGAGAATTCAGTTACGCATATTTACCACACGTACGACGATACTTAATTACGCATACCGAAGATAGACTGATTTTTCGATGCGTATAACCATATTCCTTGTGTAAACATGGCGGCGCGCCACTGCGTTTGAAAAGAACTATAGAATTTTCGCTTCGATATTTCACGTTTGTTTTTACTGGCATTTTTTGCGTTTTGTTAAAAAAATAAAAATTGTTAACGTTTAATCAAAATCTAATACGATTCTAATTGTTGAAATCCAAATCATCTGATAATATTCTAATGAAAATCAATAAATTTTATTCTTTTTAAATTTTTTATAATTTTTATAATTTTTACAATTTGAATTTACATTTAATTATCGCTTTTATAATTTAATTATTACATTGTATAATAAGAATTTTTTATAGTTTTTATAGTTTATCAGCAATATTATCAGGAATAATCTATCAAAATTATATTTTCAATTATTTTTATTATTTTCAATTAATTACAATTTTAATTTGATATTCCAGTGCAGTATTTTCGATTAAAATTTCAAAAAAATTGAAACATTGTAAAATTTTATACGATATATTTTACAAAAAAAAAATTTTTTTCGAAGAAAATCTTCGGCACTTGTTCCAAAAAATGTCAGATTTTTCATTGTATCTATTGTACGAAAGCCACGCGTTTCAACGGAAAACAATTCTCACATGTTTTCTCTTCGGAACATGTTTTCTCGAAGGACGAAACGAAGAATTCTCGTATCGCTTGCTTGCTTGGTACGGCGGTATTCTTGTTATGCAACAGAAAGATTAGTTATGTCTTTTCGTCTTGCTTTTCCGCAGCTTTGTCTTTCGCTAGAAGAAAGAAAAAAAAAAGAAAAGAAAAAGAAAAGAACGCCCTGCATGGAAAGGAACGTGAATCTCGCGTTTTATCCATGTTTTACCCGTTAGTACGAGGAAACGCGACCTTTCGAAATGGCGGGAAAGGTTTTTATTTTAAACTTGACAGGTTTTTCGTTGTATATTCGTGCGCATGTTAGCCTTCCGCGAACTGCTTCGATCTTGATTAACGATCATAATAAAACCAAGGTTTACTTATTCTTCTTCTATGATCTTCTCTCGCATAATTATCACGATTTGATCGTTTTAAGATAGATCGTATGCAAATTATTATGTATACTGTTTTTGCGATTGTTGAGTAAATTGGATCTATTGAATAAAAATTTAAAATACATATAAATACATACTATAATATTTTCAAAAAAAAAAATGTAAAATTTTTATGTAAAAAAATATTCTTTCACTGACAATTATTTTTATTACATTCATATTTTATTATTTTATTATTTATTATCATTTTAATTAATGATTTATCAATTTATTTATTTTTATTATTCATAATCACATTTGTCATTGTAAATTGATAAAACTAAAAACTTATTTATTTTTTAATTAATCTCACTCTCAATTTTAATTGATACATATAGCGCAATTCCACTCTTTTTCTAATTTAAATTCATCGTGAAGATTCTTTAAAGCGTGTATTCATATGCTTAACGATTATCGTGCTCAGAAAGTCATCAGAATTCCATCTCATAATTTAAAATAGTCGTTCGTTCGATCATGGAATATTTTATAGATACGAAATGACAAGAAAAGTATATAAGATCTTCAAATCTTAAATAAATAAAATAATATAAATAATAATATCTCAAAAAATATTTAATTTAAAGAGTATCATTGTGGTTTTTACATAATTATGCTCAATATACAATGAAATTTAACAATGAATAATTTTCAAGAAATATTAAATATCTGTCCTTAATATAAATAGTATAATGAATTCTACAATCTGAATTTTTTAAATTTTGATCAAATGTAAGAAGGATAGTGATACAAGTCAACGTTTTGAGAAGTGCAATTTAAATACATACACTATTAATCAAATTTCTATTATCTATACATTATTATGTACGCTTATATATTTCACGTAGCGAACAAACTATGGTGAAATCCAACAATCTTTCAAAAATTTCAATCGAATTGAACCAATCGAATCGATCAAATTTGACCAGGGAGATCTCTTCATATGAGCAAAAATTACCCTTTAACTTCTTCAGATTTCGATATGATATTCTCTTTGGCGTAAACAAATGTGTTTGGGAGGGGGCGGAAGAAAGTCAAGTACTCGCACATAGTTTGAGAAACGCTGCCAATGAAATCAAGATTCGGGAGAAGGGGGGGGATCAGAGCGCGCAGAAAGAGTTAGCGAACGAGGTGAAGGTATTGCGAGCGCCGCTTAATTGCGATGCACGCCGTACGACACGTGTCACGGCATTGTGCGGCCGGTCACGCATTCCCATCGATTACATCGACGACAAACGAATTTACAAGCGCAACTGGAACGTGATTCGCGAACGCTTCAATAAGGCCTTTCCAAATGAAAAAAAAAAGAAAAAAGAAAGAAAGAGAGGAATAAAAAGTAAAAAGAAAGGAAAAAAAAAAAAAGAAAACCATTCCCTTTAAACTGCACGATTCGTGACGAGGTCTTCGCACGCCTCTTCATACCAATGAACGATCCGTTATAAATCGCTTTTACAGAAAATACGCGCTGTTGCACGCGCGCGCCACCGTCCATAACTATCAGCCTATAATATACGAGACGTTCTTTCTGCACCTCGAAACGAAAATATCTCGTCTTCCTTGGCTGAGGCCAGGTTTTTAACTATAAAACCACACGGTTGGAATATCTTCCCTGATAAATCGTGGGATCTTAATTCTCGAGAGATTAATCAGATTGTTAGTGTTGCGTGCAAAAGGGAAAGGAATTTTTTTCAGGGAGGAAAGGGCAATTTGTTTTCGAGAGCTGTTCTCACGCTATAGTTACGTATTTAAAATTTCTTTAATACACCTCCTTTTATGATTATTAACAAATCTTCAAATAAGATTGATGATATATATCTTTATATCATTGCATACAATCAATTGCTTAACATTTATTTTTTTACTTTTACTATGAAATCCTGTTATCAAATTAGATATATACCACAATATATTAATTCGTTTAATTAACAATGTTTCAGGTAGCAAACACGTAGAATGGTAGCCTCACAACACGACGGTACCAGAAGTGTCGGTGGCGGTGGTGGCGGAGACGGTGGAGGCGGCGGTGGAGATGAGACCGTGTACACGGTGACCGTAAGTGGTGTCGGTTACAGGAACGAGGGTTACAAGGACGACGGTACCGACGGTATACCTCCTGAGCCGCAGAAACCACCGCAATTATCGTCGACGGACGATGACACACAATCAAGAAAGTTCAAACTCTCCCGCGGCGAGAAATGGCGTATATTGAAGAACATTAGCACCGTATCCGTGGCGTTTATGGTGCAGTTCACCGCGTTTCAAGGCACGGCTAATCTACAGTCGTCGATTAACGCCAGTGACGGTTTAGGCACCGTGTCCCTTTCAGCGATTTACGCTGCATTGGTGCTATCATGCATCTTCGTTCCCACCTTCGTTATCAAAAGGCTCACGGTTAAATGGACATTGTGTATTTCGATGCTGTGTTACGCGCCGTACATCGGGTCCCAGTTCTATCCGAAATTTTACACCCTGGTACCGGCTGGCGTGCTCCTTGGCTTGGGTGCCGCGCCCATGTGGGCAGCTCAGGCCACCTATCTCACACAGGTTGGTGGTGTGTACGCGAAACTCACCGATCAGCCGGTAGACGCCATCGTGGTCAGGTTCTTCGGGTTCTTCTTCCTTGCCTGGCAGACCGCTGAACTCTGGGGGAATCTCATTTCTTCGCTGGGTAAGTCGAAGTCTCGTTTATCTTTTTTCCTTCCTTCTTGAGTTAAATCCAAGTTATTTTATTTTTAGATTTTTTTTTTTATTTTTTCATGTGTTTAAACTTGCTTGGAAGTATGTGTATACAGATAAAAATTTTCTTATTTAACTTGGATTAAGTTTCCGTAGAAAGACGTACGCAATTTTTTTTTTTTTTTTTTTTTTTTTTTTTTAATTTTGTTTAATTTTTAAGAAAAAAAAAAAAAAAAAAATTGGGAACGTCTTTTTACGGAAATTTAATCAAAGTAAAAAAAAAAATTTTTTTTTTTACTTTGATTAAATTTCCGTAAAAAGACGTTCCCAATTTTTTTTTTTTTTTTTTTTTTTTTTTTTAGTTAAGTTTGGTTAAGTTTATAGAGAAATACGAATGCAAAAATTTCAAAGGTAAGACAATTATCGGTGATTGAATGAACTTTTAATAAAAGATTAATGTAATAAAATCCATTGTTCTTGACGTTTTGTGCCACTAAACGAATGATATGAATGAAATTAATATGCTGCATCATGTAGTTGGAGTCAATGAATGAAACTTATCAAAGAGCGAGTTATACGAATTAAATATTTATTTATATAATAATTTATTACAATCAATGATGTACGAAGTAGCAATTTTTCAATGAAATTTAACTTGTATCTCGGTTAGTGAATTCAACAAATATATCATAGTAACTTTATTATTGTAGCTAAATTAGTTACAATTATTATGAAATTTTTATTATCAATTTAATATATGCAATAATAATAATATAATTTATGACGTAAAATAAAAGTCATAAATTTCAGAAAATTCTAAAAATAAAATAATATCCATAGTTGACAAGTATTTTAAAAAAAATTATCACTCATTAAACGATAGTAAAATTGCTAAAATATATGCATTATTATCAGAATGACAAGATAAAAAAAACAACGTAAGAAAATCCAGAAAACATTCCACACAGTAAATACCTATCCACCAATACTATAAATTGGCTCTAATTAACCGTACCGTTAGGTTAAACAGTGTCTCATATGCACGAACATTATCCGCCTCGAAGTTCCCTTGAGGCAAAAAAATGCGACCAAAAGTCCCATCCCATAAAGAAAGAAAGAAAAAAAGAAATCTTCAATTCCTCCGTTCTATATCTACCGATCCGTGTCATAAATTAATCCTCCTGAACACGTGCCCAAAAGTCCCTTTCTAAGAAGCATTTAAAATGCAAATGCCGAAGCCCATCTTTCCCGAGGATCTCAGATCGCCAAGAACGGTTCGAACGATTCTTAGAGAATCTTTCGAAGGTCGGGCTGGAATCGGTGTCAATATCATACGATCCATCATAAATTTGGTGATCAACTTCTCCCACCACTCTACCTATCCCACCAAGATCTATCGAGAATCACCGATCCCACACATCGATCGAGTGGGCTCATTTTCGAGGCGCGAAACGACACTCGTAGACAACACATAGAATTGCGATTACGCATTACACGTATAGGCGGTATATGTACGACAGTGATAATAC